TAGTTATAGTCTAGCCTCACATTGCATACAATTCAAATACTTTTTACTTTTTACATATGAAGATTTGCAAGAACCTAGATGGATGCTGCTTCATTTATATTATTTACCACTTTTTTCAAGATTTCAACACTTTGGGATATACTATTTTACATAGAATGGAACTTACGCGACATTTGGACTTGTGCATGTTTTCTATCAACTCTGCAATCTCAAGTTGCTTCATTAATGTAGCATGTAGAACCTGCAAGATGACACTATTGTCAAAAAAGAAGCAAAAACGACCATTCATATCAAACTCCAGTATACTAAGATGGGCCGTACTTGCTTGGTTTTATGAAGGTCAAGCTCGATAGATTTGATCCGGTCCAGAGACTCCATAAACATTTTCTCCTTTTCTACCGGAATTCCTGCAGGCTGGTTGCTAAGTTCCACAAATGCTTTCTCTAGTTTCTGAAGGCGCTGTATACATGCAAAGGCATGAACTTCTTCATTCACAACCTGCGGTGCTGTTGAATTCGAATGGCTCTTGATGTTGGATTCCATCATACTCAAACGATGAATATTGTTTGGCATTCTCCAAAATCCAAACCTAATAGTACGAACAAATGCAGCTAGTCTGACTAATAAAGCTATCAGCATTTTGGCCATGGACTGAATATTCCTTCTCCCAACCTTTCCCTTGACAGTTTCAAACAATAGGGCAACTGAAGTTCCTGAAATTTTACATCAACTTAGGAAGGAAAAAAGAACTCCAAAGGTACATTTGAAGTATCCTCCTCGTAGAAGAGAAAATGATTATTGCAATAAAATAGCTATTACAAATACCTTTGATGTAAAAAGAAGATGCTCGTTGATGAGATTGACTATCGACAATACTAGTAGGCGATGAATATGGAGAAAACAGCAGTCCTTGTTCAATTTCTATAGTTTTCTCTACAAGAGGTAAGCTATCTTCACAACAATAGTAAGCACTAGGATATGCAGAGCTGCTTTGATATGGAGAACATTGCACATCAAAATCTGATTCTGGCTGTGTTGTTGATGTGTCACTAGTCCTTGCCTGAAGAGTATGGGTTAAATGACATGCAGAGAAGATATAATCACAGAACCTCTGGTGCTCAATGATCACAAGACTTGGTACTTACCGTTGTCGGACGTATCTGAATGTAAGACTCATATTTATGCTGGTCATCAGATACTCTGGTGATTTGCCTCACAAATGTTGCATCCGCATTATATATGAGCTATCAGCAGAACCACACGTTAATCTCCAAATAAAAGTTGAGTAAGCCTAAAATCATGTCCAACAAACATTTCATGCTTAAGAGGAACAAGCAATATATTTCACATGGTTACCTTCATTATCTTAGGATCATTCCATGGACCTTTATTAGATCTAAGGCACCCTCCACCGATAGAGCAAGTGCACGACCCTCCTAAGAAGTCAGGCAACTGACTGAAAGAAGTGAAGAAAAAAACAAGGGCTTAGGAGGGATCATAGATAGAATTTTCTTGCAGTTAAGAATGAAGAAAGATAAGTAACAGACCTATGGTCAATGGTGTCCAGTAGCCTACCCAGAGATTTGGGCTCCAAAACCTGAAATTTGTAAACGAGAAAAATTGAGTCAAGTGGGGAGAAAGGGAAGGGGAATAGAAAGAAGAATGCCTAAAGCAATTTCGTTTTTACATTTATCTTTCCAATTGTCTTTGCATCAAGAAACTTCTGAGCAGCAGGCCAAAGCATCCTTTTGAATCCAGGACCAGCATTGACTATGTACATCCTGTGTAACGTCTGTAAAGCCATACAGGAAGAGTTACAAACAATTGCTATTAGCAACAGAGAAAAATCTATTTGGATTGGACAAGATACCTCAGGATAATAACTGTTATCTATTTTAGTCATGGCAGCCAAAAGACTTGCCGCAGACCCGCTAAAATTCTTCACGCCCTGCAATCAGAAACAACATTTAATCACCATTATTAAGTAAATTGCAGCTTCTGAATTCATTTCTGCCATATTTCTATATCTAATGCCATCAAATCTTCAATTTGATAAAGGATGTCAAATACCAATCCTTGGACATCCAATATAGTAGTTGTTGAACAGATTTGTTGCTTTGCTGCAACTGAACAAGCAGGGAACTTCTCCGAGAGAAGTCTCTCAAACTCTTGCACATGGTACTTCATATACCGGTCGATGGTGGTGATACGCATAAGCCTACTTGGATGGGCTTTTCCTAGCCGCTCAATGTAAACAGGTCTACCTTCCTTGTCGACTCCATGGTACCCTTGGGGGTAGAATTGCAATACCTCTTCCAGCTCTTCAAACTCGAAATCCTATGTATTTATTGATTAGAAAAAAAGGGTCAACTTGCAATGATAATAATATCCATTAAAATATAATGATAGCTCTTACATACTGTGCTGTATAATCATAAAAGCAACATAACCTCTAAGGTGCAGTTTTATTTCTTCTCCAGTTAGGCATTCCATGATTCAGTTAACATGCAATGAAAGTCTTGAAATAAATGCTACAAAGTTTACATTTCTGACCTCCAAAATGGTGTCTGTTCCAAACTCCTTCCTCCATTTAAGCATTTCTTCCCACATCTGGATTGTTTTTCCAATGTTAAACTCTCTAGCTTTCAAGAATCTACAAGTGGAATGTCACACAAATTGTCAGCATATACAATGTGATACATTGAACAAATATTTGGAACTTAAAGCAACAACTGACCTTAACAAAGTATGATAATCATCATGGCTAGGAGGCAATAACTCCTTGTGAACAAGTTTTTGATGTAATTCAATGACAGAACTCTCCTCTTTTGCATCCCTAACATCCTCGATGCATACAGAAGGCAACCTGTAATCTGTTTTCTTGTTCCCTTTTTTCTTAAGAGAATGAGTAAAGTTGTTGGATGCATTCATGGCCTTCCTTTTCAGATTCTCAGCAATCTCCTCCACCCTAATTTCCAGTATTTAACAGAACCAAATTAAATCAAGCACACAAGTTATCTAACAAGAGAGAACGCCGAGCGCGAACGTGGAATAAAAAATGGTGCTGCGTATGCTAAAAGAAGAACACCAAATATAAAAGAAGAAACTTTCCGGGAAAATGTGGAGGAGAGAATGATATAGCAGTGTTAATTGTCAAAAGCAAAGTGTTTTATTCTTTTTATAGAAAAGTGATTGTGTTTTGAACTTGTTTTTCCAAGACCAATAAAGTAAGCAAACGAGGGAAATGCAAAAAAAGCTTTTCATTTTATATTATTTTCTGTCTCTGAAAAGGGAAGAAGAGAATGAAAAAAGACAGCAGCTGAAGCTGGTGAACATGAACTAAGGTCCCAACAAGAGAAAATATTCAGTTATGCATGTTTTTAGTTTGGTTCGTGAGATTCTAAAGTATTCAATTAAATCGAATTAATTCGAGTAACATTAACATTCCTGTGCGTTAACTTCAATAACATTCCACCTCCATGGTCCATTCCATGGTAAAAAGTAAACGTAAAACTTATCAGTAATTGCATCTGCCACCTCTGTGTCTGATCAGAATTCTCAAACCCCAAAACCAACAGGCCGGCGTCTTCATCTCATAATTCATGAATTATTTCATCCCAAATGCTTCTTTCTTCTTCGAACTTTTTTCTGTAGTATAATTAACGCTCTTCCAACTTCACAATAAACCCCCTCCCCGAGAAAAAATGGATGTTTTGGTCGGGCATGTAGAGTCCAAAGGTGGAAGCTTTTCCTGGGTGGGGGCCTCATACAGATAATATATTCAATATTGATACCGTTATCGAGGTGCAAAGGGTACCTACCTAGCTAGCCAACGTCGAGTAGTCACACTCTCAAGAAGATAAGGACCTAACCTAACACCTTCCATTTGCCCTACCAATAAAACATACCCTCTCCACCTGATTTTCTTCTTCTATATCCCTAAATAAAAGTATACTTCTTTTGGGTGTTTTTCTTTTTATTTTCTCAACTTACAATTTTATTTAAAAGATTTCATCAGTGTTCACTACTGGGCTTTTATTATATAAGATACATATCTTCTCTTTTTCTGTCTTTTAGATGAAAATGATGCAGCATCAACCACCTTTTTTTCAACTGGCTGCAAGGTAAGTAGACAATATGTATATCTATATGTATATTGTAGTATAATTATACATAACATAACATGTTGTGTGAAGGAGTGTTGGCTAGTGTATATAATAGCTCTCACTGGCTCTTCTCTTGTTGGATTTTCTGTCATTGTTTTCCAGATACGGTAAATAAAATAGGGTAAATTACACGTTTAGTATATAAACTATTATTTTGTTTCGTTTTTGGTAGCTAAATTTTTTTTTTTACAATTATACATAACCTTTAGTTTAGGTTTCATTTTAGTACATCATTGTTAAAAACTTAACAGAACTGTTATATGTGACACTTTTTATGTGTAAATTACATCATTCATCCATTAACTATCTTACCCATATATTGGTCACTAAAGTTTTTATAGGAGCAAAATTGAAATTTTTTAAATTTTAGTGACCAAAATAGAAGTGACAAGATAATTGAGTAACGAATGATTTAATTTACCCAAAAAAATATTTCATGTACAACAGTTACATTAAGTTTTTAATAGTAAGGTATCAAAATGAAATAAAAAGTAAACGCTATGCATAATTTTGAAAAAAAATAAAATTTAGATACCAAAATGGGACAAAAATAATAGTTTAGGCTCTAAACTTGTAATTTACCCAATAAAATAATACTAGTAAAATTGAAACAAAAGAACCCCTTTGGAATTTCTCATTACCATACAGGCAGTATAAGTAGTTAGTAATGGTTAGGACTTAGCATAGGATTTGAGAAAATCAAAAAAATTGACTTAAACTTATCTATACGATTTGGTTTGCGGTTTTTTTTTTATTTTGCGTTTCGATTTTGGTTTGGTTTAAAAGTATAATTATATAATTTGGTTCGATTCGATTTTTCTATATAAAAATATTTGTTTCAAATCAAACCAAATAAAAAAATTATTATCCAAAACAAATTCATTTTGAATTTATTATAAGATAAATTTAAATAAATAAAATCATAAAACTAATAATATTTTTTATGAATTTAAATGTGTACGTTTACACTCGATTTGAGCTATAAGTTTGCTTTATTTGGACGTTGAGCTTGAAAATTAGTAAACACTTAATTTTTTTTAAACCAATCCAAAATAAATTAAATCGAAAATCACGATTTTTATGTCATTTAATTTCTATTTTAGTTTAAAATTTTAAAAACCCGCAAAATACAAATCGATTTATATTTTATTGAAAAACCACATCGAATTGCGCCGAATACACTCATAGTAATAGTAATAAAATGTTTTTATTTTTGTTTAGAGTAAAGTACACAAATGGTCCATTGACTATAGGATATTGCTTTGTTAAATCATCGCCTATTAAAAGTTATAAAATGGTCTTTCGGTTATAGGGAGTTGCTCTATTGAGTCCTTCGACTATTAAAAGTTATAAAATGGTCATCCGACTATTCATTTTGATCCAAACTTGTCCTTTTCATTAAAAACTTAATGATCGTCTGAACTGGACGTTAATATGCTGACTGAGATATAATATCTGTTTGAGGTTATGATATTATATTTTATCATATCTCAGTCAATAAGTTAATGTCCAGCTCAATCTACCGTCAATTTTTTAACGAAAATGACAAGTTAGAAACAAAATGAATAGTCGGGTGACCATTTTGTAACTTTTAATAGTTTAAGGACTCAACAAAACAACACCCTATATTCGGGGGACCATTATGTAACTTTTAATAGTCAAAGGATTCAACATAGTATACTATAGTTGGGGGATCATTTGTATATTTTACCCTTTTGTTTATTATGTTAATATTTTGAATTTAATCTCCTTACCGTATTTTAGTATATGTTCAAATTTGTTTAATTTACTAACAATATGTACATACAATACAAACGCAACTGTTCGAACTTAAAATCTCTAGTTTAGTTTGGATTCTTATGTTGTTTTTAGTATAATTGAGTAATTTTATTTCGTATTGACAAGAGACCTTTCGTTCTTTATTATTCTTTTATTTATAGGATAAAGAATTAGTTTAGTATTTAGTTTATTACTTCTATTTCATTTAGGTAACCAGACTTCAATCTTTTGGAAATCATAACTAAATTTTAGTTTATGTTTCATTTTGGTACCTTTCAATTAAAAAATTAACAGAACTGTCGGTGCGACATTATCTTATGAAGATACATCATCATTAAATTTTTAACGGAAAAGTACCAAAATGAAATCTAAACTAAATGATAATTATGGTTTTGAAAAAAAAATAAAGTTTGAGTTTCGGAACAGAAAAAAGTAATAACTTGGGGACAAATATGTAGTTTACCCTTGTTTATATATAGATGACAAGACTGGAGATACCTTAGCTTGGCTCTCGTACTACCCTAAGGAATAGGATATTGTGAAGGGCTGAAAATCAACCTTTTTCCTATTAAAGTTGAAACCAAGTGTTAGGTTTGGGAATTCCATTCACCCTCTATTATATTACACTTTCTACTTTCTCCATAGCACACACAAAAAATCATCTCTCTTGTACACTGTTATAAAATACTACTCCCCGTATTCTCATAGTCATGACATTCCAAGTTTGGACAAGTAATTCTCTGGTTAGAAATTTATAAACAGAAAAATAATAAAATTAAGATCAATCCAAAATGAGATAAAAAAATAAGGTTTAACGCGATTAAGTTTTATCTACTTTTACGGGTGAGAATAACAATAATTCATAATAGTTGTAGAGAACATGAAATGTACAAATACATGATTCTCATATATACTAAAAATTGGTATCTATATCATAACTTGGAATATCCCAAATCACTATCTCAATATCCTACAAGAATCTATCTCTACAACATAAACTCTAAAAGTTATAAAAATCATAAAAGGATTACATCTCTCTAAAATATTTTTCTCTATCTCTTAATTGTAAAGGTTAAGACATAATCTCTAGTTATAGAGTCAAATATTTGGTCACCAATAATTCTTATTTAATAAGAATTATTGTCAAAAATAAGCATTTACTTATTAAATAAACACAATCACCAATTATAATTTAAATAAAAAATATATAACATCCTCCATTTTAATAAATATGAATTTAAACTCCATTCATCATAATTTAAATCTAAAATAAATTTAAATTTAAAATAATTTAAACTAAATATTTGAGCTGATTCAAATTTAAAATAATTAGAAGTCAAAATTAAAGTGATATTCGAGATTATTGAAGCAATGAGAAAGGAGAACTAAGCAAGTATTTAGTTCTACAAGATGTATGAATGGATAGTTTTAGAGAGGAAGGGGTAAAAGTGAGCAGATTGAGTTCGATTTTTTTTTTATGTAAAAAATTTCTGTCGGGAGATTCTCCCACTAAAGTCACATGTGTGATGCGGGTCGGTCCGGATTAATCAAGACGAAACCTTAAAATTGAGAGAACAAAAAAAAGTGAGCAGTGAAGCAAGAGGAAAGGGCCAAAAAGATCACGTTGTTTTGTGCTTGGACTTGTATTGTTTGGAATGGCAGAATTGGTGTATTTATTGAAGAAGAAGAGTCAAAAGTAGAGCAGAGGATTTTATGTATAGTCAACATGAAATAGAGGGACATGTCCTTAAACTTCATTCTGCCCCCACTCCCTTGGTGGTTGCATGTGACTGTGGTCACCATTCTTTTTTTACTACACATCAAAAATATTTCAAAAGTATCATTGAATGAATCGATGCAGACCGCTCAGATTAGAGGGAAAAATATATCCCAATCGCTCAATTAAAGTGATAGATTCTGAAATATTTTTTTAAACTGAGCATAATGTAAACGAGCTGAGTCAGATTCGAGTAATGTGAAATTTGACTCCAAAAGTGTAAAATTGAATTGAATTCGACTCGAC